GAAGCAGGCTCCCCGCCGAGCAGGGCGCCGGGTGGGGGACTCGATCCCAGGACCCTGGGATCATGACCTGAGCCGAAGGCAGACGCCTAACCATCTGAGCCACCCAGGCGCCCACAGTTCAATTTTTTTTTAGATGGGGATGTAAATTCCTTGTGGTTAGAAAGGAATATTAGACATTTTTGCCTCATGGTCCATGTGCAAATTGTAAGTGTACAAACATATGGCACACCCACTTACTTAGGACCTCTACACAAGATGTGCTGGTCTACCTGAGCATAGGTCTTTGGGTTCCTGAAACCAATACTGATGTGTGTGTGTGTGTGTGTGTGTGTGTGTGTATGGAGGTGGTGGGCAGTGGGGGCTTCTTTACACCAATGAGCAATTGTCAGACACCAGATGGGTGTCCTACAATTTAGTTCGACTGTGACACTATCTACCTAGAGATAGCATCAGATCCCACATGTTAAGGGTTCAGTCCCATCCTCCCACATCCGCTTCAGATGCCAGCTGCAAGCCTAGGTTGTTACAGAGTCCCTGTGTATCTGACCCACTGGCTATAAATCAGAGGTTTCCATGACCATGGGTTTGATTAATTTAATACAGAGGCTCACAGAACTCAGAGAAACATTTTGCTTACTGGATCACCAGTTTATTATGAAAGGCTATAACTCAGGAACAGCCAGATGGAAGAGATGTATAGGGCAACATATGGGAAAAGATGTGCAGCTTCCATGCCCTCTTGAAGAGCACCATTCTCTCCAAATCTCCACGTGTTCACCAACCCAGAAGCTCTCTGAACTCAGTCCTTTTGTGTATCTATGGAGGCTTCTTACATAGGCATGACTGATTAATCACTGGCCATTAATGACAGATCCACTTTGTTGGGTCCTCTGGCAACTGGCCTCTAGCCTTAGGTGTTTTCTAAAAGTCACCTCAGTAATACAACAAAAGACATCTTTATCACTCTAATCACTTAGGAAATTCCAAGGGTTTTAGGAGTTTTGGGCCAGAAACGGGGATGAAGACCAAATATATATTTCCATTATAAATCACAGTATTACAATAGGCATTTATTTGTGGAATAGGGGAAGAATATTAGATCTTTAATATGTATCCCCAGGAATGGGGAAGAATATTAGATCTTTAATATTGTACGAATTGCCGCGAATTCCCAGTCTTTAGCTGTATTTTCTCAACTATAAAATTTTAAGTGAAGTTCTCATCAATTCTTTATTTAACTCCTTAGCTCTTTTAATTAGAAAGTGAGGAGTTTAATTTTCCTGTGATACAAGCTTTGAAACATTCTGGCTGAAGCTACCTTTGGCCCAGAGTGGTTTCTGTCTCTTCTCTTGTGGTTTAACAGGACCAGATAGGTTGTGCTAGCTTTTGATTGAATGACAATTGCCTCTAGTTGAGTACTGGAAAATGTTTTGCATTTGATGCAAAAGATATTGGCTTCATATTCCTTCCTATTTTATGTTATTAAATATCACCCTCAGCCTTAGAAATCCTGGAATTTAACTTAAATTTTGCATGTGTAAAAAATGACTCTTTCTTAAATTAAGTTATTAAATATAAATTATTCACTATGTATAAACTATATATGTCCCCTAACTGCTAATGTGGTGAACATCTTTTAGTAAATATACCAAATGAAAGTATTAAGAAAGCAAACAAATGAAATTCATATGAAATTCAGAAAGCAAGGTGTGGTGATTTCACAGGTTCATGATGTTTTGATGTGCACTGGGGATTGTGGCAGCAGGTTAGGAGAGCCATTTAGAGATATGGTCCAGCGGTTGACTCATCACATTCCAGGGTCTAGTCTGGAGCTTTGCAAAGCCAGAAATTTGATCTTGTCACAATTCTGAGACAATTAGACCCTAGGAAATTGTTTCATTTCAATAAAGACAGAGAGATGTATAAACTAGAATATCAATTTACTCACTTGTAAGGAAAAATATAACCATAGCTAGGATTGAATTACTCTTGTTAGCAGATCAGCATTTTCTTTCCCTGTAGGCAATAGACAAAGGCTACAACATTTAATCAGAAATCTCATTTGATGAAAATAGATTTGTTTAATTTTAGGGAGTGCCTCTCCTAAATTAAGGAGAGACTAAACTAAGACTACAGTTTTACCCCTTAGAGGATAGCTACCTATTGAATCTACTGGCCTATAGTTTCCATCCCCTGAATATGCAACCACTGTATTTTATAACTAGTCCCTCTCTTTCTGTAGGCTATCATGTCTACCTTCTATATTCCATATTTTATATATATATATGTACACACACATATATATAGTCATTTTTTAATAAAGATTTTTATTTATTTATTTGACAGAGAGAGAGAGAGAGATAGTGAGAGCAGGAACACAAGCAGGGGGAGTGGGAGAGGGAGAAGCAGGCTTCCTGCCGAGCAGGGAGCCCGACGTGGGACTCGATCCCAGGACCCTGGGATCATGACCTGAGCTGAAGGCAGACGCTTAATGACTGAGCCACCCAGGCACCCCATATATATATATTCTTAAAGAATTTATTTGTTTGACAGAGAGAAAGGGCAAGCACAAGTGGGGGGGTGGCGGGCAGAAGGAGAGGGAGAAGCAGGCTCCCAGCAGAGCAGGGAGCCTCACGTGGGGCTTGATCCCAGGACCCTGAGATCATGACCTGAGCTTAACCAACTGAGCACCCAGGGGCACCTCCATATTACATTTTTTAAACTTTGATGTTCCATACTCTAGCCCTAGATATACTTGTATAGTCTCACTTCGACATGGGTCACAACCGAACAAATTATTGACTAAGTAAATGTTTTGAACTTAATCTTCTAAGATAGTCCACTATGTACTTTATATAAACTTGCTACAAAAACAAATTATGTTTTCTAAATCCAACTAGGTTCTCAAATATGGTTGTATCTATAGTTTTAGGTTGACTTGCACTTCACTGTGTGAGTTTTCCATTCTTATTTTAAGTCTCCTTGCAACTATTTCTGAAGGAAATGCGGCACTTCTGGAGATGCCCATCAATGTGGATACTGTAGTTACCTCTGCCTGATGTCCCTGGCACGGCTTCCTGCCCTGAGAAAGCAATCTTCGGCCTGCTGCATGTATTAGCCTTCACTGCAGGTGGCTCCGTGCCCCATTGCTACAAGAGCTATGGCTAATAAGCTGCGTTGTCACAGAAACAGGAGCAAAAATCACGGGGTTAAAATAGATCGTGATCATGGTCAACACCAAAATAAGAAACTTCTGGGTAAAGTCAGACTCTGAGAAATGGGTCACCAGGGGTCAAGAAACTAGGTGACAACCAAAAGAGTTTGCCTTAGAAAAGAAGAGGATTTTGGAGGTGGATAGAGAAAAGAGAAGAGAGAAGACAGGGAATGGAAGTTTCGGTATCGCAGGAGGAGGCTAGAGCAGAGCCGATGTTAGCTGGAGAATGCCAGCAGAGGTGAATTAGGAAAAGGTCCTCCCTCCTTCCTGGCAGAGGCAACCCCTCCCCAGGGTGCATGACTTAAAGAGATCTGGGGCTGGATTCTTCTGTCTTCGCACCCCGTGACGGAATGCATTTATGCAGGGCACAAATTACACAACTGTTAAAGAACTGATGACATTTAACAAGGATATTGAAAGATGATGTAATTAAGGGAAACTGGATGTTCTCAAGAATTTAAACTTTTTTGGTGCTTATCACTAAGTTAAGATATTTATCTAGTAGCAAGAAATTCTTCTGAGCTGCCAGTTTAAAAAAAAAGGGAAGCGGGTTGTTAAAGATTTTATTTATTTATTTGAGAGAGAGAGAGAGTAGGGGGAGGGGCAGAGGGGGAGGGAGAGGAGGAGCATCTCAAGCAGACTCTGCTAAGCATGGAGCCTGATGCAGGGCTCCATCTCATGAGCCTGAGATCATGACCTGACCGGAAATTAAGAGTCAGATGCTTAACCAACTGAGCCACCCAGGTGCCCTGGGAAGTGGGTTTTTAATACTACAAGTAGATTAGATTAGTGCTGATTTTCTAGTTTATGTTGTATTAATCTAGTGATTCTCACTCCCAAGTGAATCAGACTAGGAGGACTAGGTATTCCCTGAGTGGTCAGGGAATACCATCTTACAGCATTTCAAGCTCTATTTAGGCTCTATTTTCATAACTGTGATTTCCTCTCTCTCTTTCAACTTGGAGTATGCTTGTCAGCAATGCCTGATCTCTGTGCAATAGTATTCCTAGACAATATTGCTCTTCCAATATCTGTGGCTGGTGCTATGTTTAGGTCATGATTGAATTAATTGTTTTCCCCTGAAAACCACTTGAAATGGAGCTTCTGGATTATTTCTCCCTAGTTTTCAGTTCTCTATAAAATGGACTGCTTTGGATTTAATCCTACTAAGAAATAGGATAAATGTCCTAGGAAAATACAACAAACTTCTTGGTTCTGTCACTTCCTTAACATTTCCTAACATGTGTGTCTGTCTATTTTGTATATATATGCATGGATAACATGTTTGTATATACATATGCATACGGTGTAAACGTATATATATGCATATGTATGTATGTAGTCATGTTTGCTATATAGATGCCAGAAATTTAAAAATATGAAGCTTATCACCTCTCTATAGGTTGTTGGTGCCTTAGAGGGAATTAGTATCACTGCTTTGCAAATTCAAACTGTGAACATTTTCATTTGAGGTGAAATCCAGAGTCGGCTTTCGGCAGTGTGTGCTAGAGGTGTGAAACAATGGGGGAGTCCCTGGAGGGAACATGGCAATGTAAGGATTTTAATACAGATGTATGAAAATAATAGAGTCATAAACCTTGGCAGGAAAACAACTATTCACTTTTCTACCAAACTGATTTTCTGGACTCATCTTAAATCTGTATCTAAAATTGTTATGGTCATTTTTAGGCTGCCTGAACTCCCTCATACATCCCCTTCCCCCAATTTTTCTCCAGCTAAATCCCACTTCTCAGATTTGAACTGTATCTCCTTCTTTTCTTTACAGTTGGTTTATCATCTACTCCACGCCTTGGGCATGTGCTTCTCCAGGATATGGCTATGAAGTGGAACGGTCTCCCATCTCCCCAGCCTTCCCAGTGGTCCTCTCCACTCAACTGACTTTGCCGTCACACACCAAGATGGCAACTAGAAATGGCTGTTTTTAATGGCTTAGCTGCTAATCATACAGCAAAAGGGAAAATAAAAAAGTAACACATGTGAAGAAGATATACATTTTTGAAATCTTAAAAAGTACCTATAGGCCTAGTCCTTCATCCTGAGACGGCACCTGGTGGACTAGATGAGCAGAGCACCTGATGTCTTATTTCTAAGCACTGGGCAACTTACAGCACATTGCCTTCCTGCCACCAGCTACAGTGATTTATTGTTTTTATTTTTTATTTTATTGTATTTCTTTATTTATTTTTGATAAACTCTCCCCTGGACATCAACAACAACGACAACAATGACAACAAAAATGTAAGGATAGCCATGATTTTTTGATGTAATCAAATGAGTTTTACTGCTGATAAACTGGTATCTTACTTCTTTAGACTTAGGCAGTAAGAGACATGCGTTTCCATGTATTGACTTATTCTTGCTTCTTCCTTTTCTTTCTACTTCTGGAACTGGACTTCAGGAGTAGTGACTTTTGCTTTGAATAGAACAGTTGAAATAACTTGAACTTCAAGATGTGAAATCTTGGGAAACGTCTTTTAAGATCCACAAGCCTAAGTGCTGATTTTGTGATTTCCTGCTTGATCCCATTTTCTATTCTCTGAACACATTTTCAAATATGATATAATGATACAGAGTTAAGCTCTAAGTTGCTTTTTTCTCTAGGACTGAGCTACTTGAATTCTATAGCCAACATTGAAATAAAATACTGAACATTTTCCTCACTCTTGATCAGGCTATCAAATTTCATTCTACTAGGCTTGTACTAATCTATTCACTAACAATTTATGAAAGTACAACTTTTGTTACATAATTCTCAGCAATAAAATATCATTTGAAGAATATTTTAATATTTCATTATTAATAAGGGAAATTATTCTTCATAAGAATGTGACTTTATAAAAAATGACAACCATTATATAACAGTATTTGAAGCATAAAATGTCCTTTTTCTATTGCTTTCTTCCAAGAAATTAAAATAAATGCTAGAGACTTAACAACCACATCATCATTGTGAATCAAATAAGAAGTATTATTCCCTGGCATTAAATAACTTTTGAAAATTATCATAGAGAATAAATTAAAGCATAATGAAAATTAGAAAAGGTAATAATGAAGTTCACTGTATGGTTTCCCAAAATCCAGAGAGAGAAAGGTCAATGAGTCCCAACGGCAGAAGGGATCATATAATCCAATCTCCCACTGTGTTGGAGAGAAAACCATAAAGAGACTTTCCTAAGGCTTGTTGGTGGCATATAGGGATGCAACACCCATTTCTTCAAACATCCAGTCTTAAAATAGCTTATTAACTGTTGTAATCATGCTGGTTGTAATCATTATTCCCCTAATTTTTTTGGCATCTTTTTCAGCCTCATCATTATTACCATGAAATATATCTGGTGATTATGAACTGCTGTCCCTTAAAAATATACTTCATTATTATACATTAAAAAATTTCTGATAGGAAATCTTATTTCCTTTAGGCCTTGTCTGATTTTCACATACACAAATTGTTGTTATTACAACTTATAAAGAGTCTTGAAGGAAAACGTTTTAGGGCCATGCTGTTGCCCATGTTATTCCACAATGAAGCTGCTCCTGATGATGCATTTTATGTGAATGCTGTTGTTAGAGAGAAGGATGAGTTATTTATTGTCAATCTGCACATACAAAAAGATTCTTCTTAGTGGTTGTCTTAATCAGGATTCTCCAGAGAAACAGAACCAATAGGATACATATAGAGATTAAAGAGGAAATTTATTGTGGGAATTGGTTCACATGGCTATGGAAGCCAGGAGGTCCCATGATTGGCCATCTGCATGCTGGAGAACTAGGGAAGCCAGTGGTATAATTCAATCCTGGCATCCAAAGGCCAAGAACCAGGAGCTCTGATGTCCAAGAGCAAGAGAAGATGGACATCCCAGTTCAAGAAAAGAGAATTCGCCTTTCCTCTGCCTTTTTGTTTTATTTGGTTCCTCAGTGGACTGGATGATGCCGGCCCACAATGTGATGGCAGATCTACTTAGTCTACTGATTCAAATGCTAATCTTTCCAGAAATACCCTCACAGACATACCCAGGAACAATGTTTTATCAGCTATCAGCTATCTGGGCATCTCTTAGCCCAGTCAAGTTGACACATAAAATCAACCATCATAGTGGTTATGTTTTTTATTTTCAGAAACTGACATTGATTGAGTCTAACTCTGAACTCAAAATTCCAGTGTCTATGTTGTCCTATTGTTGAAAAATAATCTACCATTGAATCCACCCTTATCTCAAATTTCATACAGCAGTTTGGTTTGCCTGTCACTATCAATCAATGTTTCCATATCTGTAACAATTCAGCCAATGTCATTCTAAGTCAGAAGGAAATAGCATTATCCTCAGGCATTACCGCAATGTGCTTCAAAAAGTATAGACCTATTTATAGGTGATGTAAAGCATTCTTCACATTTATAGCCTCTTAATTGTTGCTTTAATAGTGAAGTTAGCCTTGACTATGAACTGGATCCTTTTGAGAGGTTTATTTATGAGGAAGATAAGTTCCCCTTTTCAAGGATTCTGAGGTGCCAATATACTTTGATTTGGCTTTGAGTTGCTCCCAACTGAAGATCTAAAACTCAACATTAAAGAAAGAATTTCAGTTTTTACTGAAATGTGGAAATTGATGCCCATATATTTTAGCACTGTAGAGTTTTTCCATTACCTTTCTCTATAAAGTCTTGTCAATGGGAACTAAACAACATGCATCATCTGGTGCTTTCTTCTAAAACTCAAACACTGCTAAAAGAGAATGGTGTGTTCAGAGTTTTCACAGAAAATTATTACATTACCTTTTTGTTCCCTTCTTCCATTTCCAGAGGGTGACTCAGACATGGGAAAGGGGACAATCTGACTTACCCATACACAAAAATATTTGCAGAACCTTATATTCCTTTCAACAGTTACCCTTTCCAATTCTGATAAAGTCATTGAATTAAAAAACTATAGAGGATAGAGAATGACATTAACCCAGTTATTTCTGAGTGTAGTAAAGAAAATCTGGATACGATTTTTGTAATGGAAAAGTGATTACCTCATTGAACCCAACATTTGTGATGGCTATTACCCTGAATAAAAGAATTAGTTCACCAATTAGCCCTTGGCAGTTCACCTTAGTTGATTTCCAACTGTGAGAGCAGAGCAAATAAATATAAGGAAAATATTCATATATATTAGCTGGAATGATCTTAAGGAAGCACAGTTGGAAATCATCTCTTACCATTCACTCAATCCCAGATCAATTTTGATTTCTCCTTTTAATCTTAATTTCTTCAACAGAGAACTCTATTAAGCTGACCTCACGTTATTTTAGCTTTATCAATCACATGGTACAGCTACTATCTGCATCAGCACTATGTCAGGCACTAGGAGAAATATAAAGCCATAGAACATATAGGACATGGAATCTCTGTCTGGAAGAAGGTGGTAATTTAGCTGGAGGGACAAACAATGCACATCAAAGGTTCAATAACAATTTGATAATTAAAAACAATAGAGATTAGTGTGAACTAATAGGATTTGCATTTATCTACTAAACAAAAGGGCATGCACGTAATCTTATTGACATCCTAACTTTTGTTTTTGGAATACTGAAGTACCACGTAATTTGAAATGGTTCTATCTTTCCAGAGTGTGGGTGGTTCTATCCTTCCAGAGTGTGGGGGCTGGGGGGAAGGTTTCAGCTTCTATAAGTATAAATGAATAGATCAGACATGTTAGAGGAAAGAACACATTTGGAGTCAGAAGACCTGAGCTTCTGGCTCATTCACATGGCTGATTTCCCTCAGGCAATTATCTAACCTCCTCAAGTCTTGCTCCCTTATATATAAAATAATGAAAATAATAGTCCTTGCTCTAGGTTGATCTCTTTAATGACCTTAATTAATGGCATTCCTATAGCAACATTTTTTTCCCTCACACTATAACTTTGGGGTCAAGCATGTGACTTGCTTTGGCCAATGGTACAGTAGCAAATAAAACAATTTGAGGCTTGGCTTTTTCTCTTGCTCCTCTACCTTTTGTCATAAGAACATGCCCAAACTAGGGGATGAGGAATATGAAGCAGTTAAGACAGCCCACTTTGACCAGCTAAGGCCCAGGGCATGTGAGAGAACCCAGGTAAGGTCATCAAAGCTGTAAAGGTGATGTGCAGCTAATTGCAGATACATAAATGAGCCCCTTCTGAACTCAGATGAACAGTGCAGCCAATGCCACCAACTCATGAGCAAAGATAAAAGATTTATGCCACTGAGGCTTTGTGATGGTTTGTTATACAACAATGCCTAACTGATAAAAATACTTCATTGTTACTGTGGGAATTAAGTAAAACCGTGTGCATGAATGAGTTTTGCAAACTGTGAAGTAATATATACACATATGAGTTAAAAAATCCTTAAGATATGGGTTATTGGAGATGAAGACACAGAAGAGTGACAAGACATAGATTTTAGTTATTTTAATTTTTGTTATTTCTAGCATTTATCCAAGCATTCAAGTTATTATGTTAATGTGATTTTTTTTGTTGTTGTTGTTCAAAGTGATATATATTTATTGTGCTCACCTATTATTTGTACAAATGGCTTGGAAGTTCTTAACACTTATAAATAATTATTTAAAAGAGCAAACAGTAGAGAAAAGCCCAATGCTAAAAACTAGATATGGAAAAAGGTCACCAGATTGTGTTCACAGAAATGGCTTAAGTATAGAAAATTTTCATTAGCAAGAAGTAAAATTTTCTCCCTTAGCAAGTTATTAATAGTTTGGCTTGACCAAGGTCAAGGCTGAGAAAAATCCAAGAAGAAAATTATGTATTTGATATTATTTCACACTAATTTATGGAATATTTTTACACTGTTGAGTTTCTTAAAAAATTAGATGCTGCAAAGATAAATAAAAAATGAAACCCTCTATTTCTGAGTAGACTGCTTTAAAGGCTAATATTCCAAA